AGAGGGTTTTACCATTTTCGACTCTTCAATCTGACAGCATGGTTGCTCTTTATCAATTATCTCTTCTTTATCAGATGTCACATACTGAATAATTTGATTTGATCCATCTGGTACTGAATCTGATGTTTCTTTCCTTATATCTGAAGGTAACCCTGTCAATTGTTCTGGCCACTGGTCTTGTAGTCCCTTATAAGATTGCTCCATTGTTTTCATGATGACAGTAAAGTAATATGAATGAATGACCTTGATTTTACTGTTACACAAAACCTTTCATTAATTACTTGCATGTTTTTATAATTAAAGTACATAACAGTACTTAAATAAAAATGTGAAAAATACATAAATGGAAAAATAAGAACGCAAAATGTGCAATTCAAAGATATAAAAAATAAAAATACAAAATGAAAATGCACAGATACAAAATGTAAATGCATGTATGAAAAGGTGTTACTTAAGAGTGATCATCTTAGAACAGATTTCATTGAACACAAAAGCTTCAGTACATCAAACAAAACTTTTACATGTAGGGGACAACTTTCAGTCCTAACTTCAACAAAACTTTATATATATAGGGAATAACTTTCCCATTTTCTTCTCTAAAACCAAGTTAGTTTATCAGCTTATGGGCCATATTGCTTGTCTGGACTGCAGCTTCTTCCATGACATTCTGGTGTTCTTTCATCTCCTATGTCAATTCTTGGAGTTGATCATTTTCCTTTGTGAGAGAATATTTGTGTTCAAAAAGTTTTTGGACAAGATCTTCATGTATGTTGCAACTCTTTTTCAGTTTGGTGACCCCTGCTATCCACTCTTCTGGGGTATTTCCTATACCAGCATTTTGAAAGGCTTGACTGACCTTCTGGAAGTCTTCATGTATGGTTTCCATTTTGGTGCTCAATTTATCATTTTCAATCTTCAAATGACGTATTTGAGCTTCAAATCTCAGTAAATCTTCTTCTCTCTGGGCGCCCCTACTGATATTTTTACCTTTGAAGACTTTTGGTATTAATCTATCAGGACCCTTGGTTACCAAACTAAGTCGATCATTTACCATAAATTGTAAGGTTCCATGATCCAAAAGACTTTGGACTCGACGTTTGAAGGCAAGACAATTCTCGATAGTATGTCCTTGAGCTCCGGCATGATATTCACAATGAACGTTGATGTCATACCAATTCGGATACGGAGGTTGGAACGGTTTTATATAATATAGATCCACTTCTCGTTCTTCAAGTAGCTTCTCATACAACTCTTTATATGATATGGGGATAGTATCAAGATGAGAGCCACATTTTGTCTTGGATTGAACCTGAGTTTTAGACATCGGGAGCAGACCAAATTTTGACGATTTCAAATTGAATGATTTCTTCTCATCTCTGGGAGTTTTTACAGTTGTCATCATTTCATTGGTATCTCCAAACGACTTGTGAATACGAATGATGACTATCTGTAATTTCTCAAATTGGTTAAGAATCGAAGTCCCTTGCGTATCTGAAACTGCAGAGTTAGGTTCATTGAGCTATCTCTCTTTCTGTGCAGGAATCTCTTCTCTTTTGGCCAAAACAGATATTTTATCCATCATTTTGGACATCTGCTCTCTTATTTCTCGTATCTCCTTTTGCTCTTCAATGGGCATACAATCTTTGGGTGCATAGCTCTTCTCTATCTTCAGAGTTCCCTCAGGATGTCTTTTCTTGGCCGCATCATATTTTGTTTGATCATAGAACTTTTTGTCCATTTATGATTTCTTTCTAATTTGATGAACAGTCTTTTCATTTAACACCTTTTGGTCATGATCATGCAATGCAAACAAAAGAAAATAATTTAAACAAATTAGAGCAAAAATAACATACATGGGAAAATAAGAAAAAATAAAATGGTTAATACCAACTAATTGAAAGAAAAATTTATTTATCATGGTATATAATAAATCCTAACCTCATGCTTTCTAGTTCCATGCTTTGTTTGGAAAAATTAACCTAACCGCATGATTTCTAGTTCGCATGCATTTATTCAGGGAGAAAAAATAATAATAAATTAAAAGCTAGAGCTTATTTCTCCTTTGTGTACACCTATGAACAAAGGTTCAGTACTGTCTTAGATTAGGTGAATTTCTAGGGTTTATTATATGCAGAGTTTCAGTTCTAGGAGTAAAGGTACTCAAATTGTCCTTGTTGATACCCCCTTGGGCTGTCAACCCTCAATCCTAGTCCATTACAGACTTAAATGGATCGAGTTCAATTCGAGGGGACACATTTCTCTATACCTGACACGGAGAATAAATTCTCACGAAGACATAGAGCATATGAACCCCGAAAGTTACTTGCTAGGTCTGACACGGAGAATAAATTCTCACGAAGACGTCGCTTTCACTCCCACTTAAAAGGGACAAACTCAATTATAGAGCTTTATGTTATGCAATGCAAGTGTTGTGTGTGAGGAGAAATGTTCAAACCTTTGACAGAAAAATAAATAACGAAATAAAATACTTACAAGTAAAATGAAACATATAAATATTATGAAAATAATAAGTAAATATAAAAATTTTGAAAAGAAAGAATTAAAAATTAAATATATGAACTTTTAATTTTTAATTAATAGAGACAATTTATAATTGATTTTAAAGTTTGACCAAATCCCCAGCGGAGTCGCCAAGCTGTCGTAACCGGTTTTCGTCCGGGCACGAAATATTTATTTGGCGGGAAAATTTATGTGAATAAATGGTTTTTAAAAAAATAATTCGGAGTCGCCATCGGCCTTTTGGGTCAGGTAGGTCGAATACCTAAAAATTATTTTTTAAAAGAGTTTTAAGAAAACATCAATTAAAAAAAAATGAACTGATCTGCGTTTATAACCAAAAATTCATTCTTTTTAATAATAAAAAGGGATTCGTGGTCGGTTACGTTTAGGGAAGGATTAGCACCCCTACAACGCCCAAAATTGGTACTTTTTAATTATAAATTGTCTCTATTATTAAAAATTCAAAATGTATTTAATTCATAATCCTATTTGATTTAAATTTATTATTATAATTTTAAGAAAATATATTAATATATCTTTATTTATTTACTCAGAAATATCAGAAAATGGCTTCTAGTTGCTTTAAGACAGCTCCTTTCTTAATATTAATAAATAAATACATATCAAAATATGTTTATTTTTCTTAAAAGTAATTTATAAAATTAAATTTATAAATAGGATTTTTATTTAATAAACAAATAGAATAAATAAATATTATATATATTTATATAACTTAATAATAATAATAAAATAATCATGAAGATAATAATTTAAACATATATCAAAAGTAATAACAAAATAAAATAATAATAATTAAAATGAAAGAAAATAAAAGTAATAACATTAAAACTATTGGATCATATTCATAAATATATGAACTTAAAATGTAAAAATAATAAAACTTATGGTTTAAAATTAAGATTATATATAATTTAATGATCAAATTATAAAATATAAATATATAAGAGACATGGTTAGAGTTATCATAAAATATAAATACTAGTAGTGTAATTAGCCATTAATTATTTAATCAGTGATTAAAATAGAAATATTAAAATTATTAGGGACTAAATGTGATATTTATCCTAAATATATTATTTAATACTGGTAAGGACTAAAACATAATAAAATAAAATTCAAAGACTGAATTAAAATGTTCAGAAATTAATTTCAGTGACTAAAATGAATAATTATAAAACTTGGATGGCTATGGAAAGGGTTTAGCCATGCGCGAAATTACAGATATACCCTCCCCAAAACGACGTCGTTTGGGAGAGGGTATAAGTATCCGAAACCGGCTGGCCCGAAGGGCCAACCCCTCATTTCTTTTTTCTCTCCTCTCTCTCTAACTGAGAGAGTAAATATTCTCTCTCGCCTCTCTCTTCAAATCCCTCATCGGAGGGATTAGAGTTCTGGCCGGCCACCGTGCTCCGGTGCCGACCACCGCCGCCGGCCACCGCTCTCGGTGGTCGGGAAATTTTATTTTTTACCAAAACATAGATCGGGCCGTCCTAATGACGGATCCGGTGACCGTTTTTCTTAAAAAAAGCTCCTGATCGGAGCAAATCCATGAAAATACCTTCGGGTTTTGGTTGTTTCCGGCGACGGTTGGGGTTCTTTGATGACAAAGTAAGTTTCCTTTCTTCTCTTCTCTTTTTTTTTTTTTTTTTTGTTCTGGTTGTTGGTTGCTGTTCGTATCTCTCCCTGTCTTTTTTTTCTGTTTTGTTTGTTGTCGTTCTCCTCTTTTTTTTTGCAGGATTCGGTGATGGCTTTTTATAGCCTGACCGGTGTCTTCTTCGGACCGGTTTCGAGGGTTCAGTTCGGTGAGTCACCATAGCTATGGTGGTGACTCACCATAGAGCTCGACGTGGACGGCTGTTATTGTGGCAGCAGAGCTTCTGTGGAGTCTTCTGTTGGTGTCGTCGTGGTACTGGTGTGTCGACAATGGCGGTGGAGGCGTCAGCAGTGGGGCATTGGACCACCTGGCAGTGAAGCGGCGGTTGGAAGCTTGGAGATAGCTGAGGCGGCGCCGCGTGGTTGCCCTAGGGTATCATACCCTAGGGTTTTCGTCTGGAAGCATCAGGACCGTTGGATCTTGGCCAGATCCAACGGCTGTGAGCAATGGCGGCTGGGGCATGTGATGAGAAACCCTAGTTGGGTTTTAGGGTTTATGTTGGGCTTTTGTATCTGGGCCTGAGTTCTTGTAATATATATATATATATATTAATATAATAATAATAATAATAATTAGTAATAATAAATTTAATAATAATAATAAAATTTAAATGAAAAAATGATGTCTACATATATTAAATTGTAGTTAATGAAAGATTTAAAAATAAAAATAATATAAAATTTTTATACTTTAAATTAAATTTAAAAATTTCTTTCAAAATCATTTTAAAATAATTATAAATTTAAAACAAATAAGAAATAACTTTTTCTTTAAAAAAAGAAACCACACAATCAAGTTTACAAACAAATCGAAAGTCACATTCGTTACAACAGCATTTTTAATCTGAAGCTTGTTCTAGTCTTATAAAACTTTTTCTCCTTATAAGATCACCAAACCTTTTTAACAAAGCTTTCTTCTTCCTAGAGCTCCTATCAATTTCTTCATCGAAATTGCTTGTATCAACGTGCTCAAACTCCTCGCCATTCATCGCTTCCTCATCTGTCAAAGAAGACTTTTTCCTTTGATGGTTTGAGCTTGATGTTGAAGGAGTCTTTGGGGATTTAACAGTAGTATAAAAAATGGAGCCTTTAAGTGGATCATCAGAGAAATCGGAGTCCGAATCACCATAACTTACTCTCTGTGGAAGCTTGGAATCATCATCTGCATCCTTATTTTTGTAATTTGGGAATGATAAGTTCAAACAAGCGCTTTTTGATCTATTATGTTTTGATTTCTTGCCCTGTTGTTCTTTATCATCTTTGTGATCCTTATCTGCAGAATTGGCTGCAGCTTTTTGTTTCTTAAGTCGCTCTTGATCATCAGCTTCACAATTTGCATCGCACAACAACAGCTTCAAATCCCTGATGTTGTCGACTGTTGTTGCTTCGTTGATCTTAAGGTTTTCGTTCTCCTGTGATAGGATACTCAAAGCTTCGTCTTTCTTGGCAACTGTGTCTTTGAGCTGTGAATTTTCTTCCTTGGCAATGATAGCTGCTTCTTTGGCTACATTTGCTTCAATTATGGCTTGTTTCATGATATCCCTCAGTTTCTGATTCTCTTCCCTGGCCTTTAGGTTCATGTTTTCAGCTTCTCTGAGTGATTCAAGCAATGCTTTGCTCTCCTCTTGTGCTGCATTCCTTTCATCTTCAACTTTTTTTATGCATTCGACGAATCCTTTTTCTTTTTCACTCCATGCCAATTGGGTTTCTTCGGCTTCAACCCTTAATCTTTCTGAAATGTTTTTGAATACCTCCGTTTCTTTCTTTGATTCGATATACTTTTCCTCCATGCTCCTGAGCTGAAGCTTCAAGTCTTGGACTTCCCCTTTTGTTTTCTCCAGCTCAAGGTTTGTGAAAAGGAGTTTCTCGTTGGTTTCATCTGCTTCGTCTTTCACTTCCTTCAACGCCATGGCTAAATGATCCATGGCCTTTTTGTTGTTTTCTTCGGCTTCAACGGTGGATTTGAGTTGACTCTTTAATGAGTCCACTTCCTCGGCTAGCCTCTTTGCCTTCAATGAACAAACTCTCTCTTTCTCCAATGCAGAGCGTAAGTTTTCTTTTGTTAATTGAATCTCGGATTCGAGCCTCTCTAAATGGCCATCTCCCATGGAACTCTGTGATGCAACCTCGGGCGAACCTTCAGATTTCTCCAGGTTTTCCAAGAGGAACTTGATTTCTTGTTTGGATTTCTCCAGAGAAATCTGGGTTTGCTTATACTCTTCTGATTTAGCAACGAAAGAATCATATATCTTCTTCTCGGATTCTTTTCTTTTCTCGATTTCTTCCTCCAATTCATGGATTCTCTTCTTCCCTTGAGACAATAAATCTATTGCTTCGGATTCAAAGGATTTCAATTGAATCAACTCATTTTTCAATTTACGAAATGAAGCTTCTTTTTCGGCCAAAATCGCTTCCAATTCCTTAGCTGTTCCGAGTTCAGTTTTCAAGGATTCCATGTACTTCTCCTTGTTCTTCAGTTCTGTATGAATGTCCGCAACTTTTCCAGACATCATTGCAGTACAGCTCTCATCAGCCTCTTTATTGGCAAAGGATGACCCTTCCATTTCTTTCTCTGATCATTAAAAAACAAATAAAAAAAGGTTCAGACGTAGATGATCATTGAAAAAAAAAACTTGAACAACGAAAACAAAATTTTCAAACTTACACCTTCGATTGAGATGGTAATGTTTAAGGGAAAAAAGTTCCTTTCTTGGGGGATAAAATCAATGAAGAGACTATATAGGCAAACAATGCTAAAGATTTGGTGATTGATATAATACTGACTCCATTTTCCTTATAACAGATATTAGTAAAACAACAAAAGCTTCAAAACAAGCAAGTTTAACAACCCGTAATGTTTAAAAATGGTGAAATTATTCTACAAGATAAATGAATGAACAAGAGAAAAATCCTATTGGAGAAAATTACGGGGACTAAATCTAAATCATAATTGATGGGATAGAAATGGTTAAATTGAGGGTCTATGTTTTGAGGGAAATATTATAAAAAGAAGAAATCTAATAGTAAAAAAATGGTTGGTTTTGTGGGAAAATCCGAGGTTTTTGGATATTCCATTAAAAACAATCCTCTCTTTTATAAGATAAGCCGGCTGAGATGGTTAACATTCATGAAACAATGGTGCTTATTAATCCCTGCAAACAGTCACTCACGGGTACAGAAAAGACTTGGGTGGAACTCTCTCGCAGGATCTTTTAGCATGAATTCCACCATAATTCCATTCTCTATCAGTAATATACAGGTGGAACAATGCCAACAAACCATCCAAACGTGTGGAAGTGTGAAGAGCAGTTCCTTCTGTCACCGACTTTGTGGCATGTGCTGAAATAGTCAGTAATTGTCTGCACCGAAATTGGGGTAAAAGGGTTGATGATCCATTAATCACCACCTAAAGTCGCAAAGAGAGCAGCCCAAGGAGTTGATGGCAGATAAATAGAACCACGATTATGTTAAAAGATTGCTTTCACAGGTTTCTACCGACACCTGTGGCTTCCCCTTTTCTCCTGAAATTCTATCAGGAATCAGAACTCCTATTGAGATATATATCAACCAAAACCACCCCACAATAAATCAATTTCTGCAATATTAACCAGTGCTTTCATTTGTAAACTGATACTCTTAATCTCTAAATGAATCTTATCGGTTTCAGGATGAGAGAGATCCCCTCCAAGGAAGTGGTGCACCTTATTACCAATCTCCATCCTACTATATGCACATTGCTTCTTCACTCCTTGTTCTTTCATCTGTAGCCTCACTCTTGTGACTTCATCCCACATGCCAGCCGCAGCATATATATTGGACAAAACAACATAAGCACCTGAATGATGTGGATTCCATTCCACAAGTTTCTTAGCTGCTAATTCCCCTAATTCTACATTCAAATAAACACTGCAGGCACCTAGAAGGGCACCCCAGATTCCACCATCAGCTTCAAAAGGCATTTCTCGTATTATCTTGGATGCCTTTTCCAGCTGACCTGCTCGACACAATATATCAACCAAGCAAGAATAATGTTCAGGTCTTGGATGAATCCCATATTTTCTTACCATTAGGTCAAAAAAGTCCATACTTTTATTTACTTCCCCTGCATGACCACAAGCACATAATAAACTAAGAAAAGTTACCCCATCTGGTTCAACACCAACCACTTCCATCTGGTTGAAGAAATCAACAGCTTTTTCATAGAGACCATGCTGTGCAAATGCAGAAATGATTGTATTCCACGAAACAAGGCATGTTCCATTAATTTGTCCAAAAGCTTGTTCAGCATCAAGAATGCTACCACATTTACTATACATTGTAATCAAGGAATGACACAAAGAAAGATCGAACTCAAACCCATATTTTATAACAAGCACGTGCATTTGTCTGCCTTCCTTAATGGATGCAAGGCCAGAACACGCAGTGGTAACAGAAACAAGGGTGAAAATATCCGGTTGGATAGCCAGCTTAACCATTTCCAAATACAACTTCAGTGCTTCCTCTCCAATCCCGTTTTGTGCATAACCTGCACCATGTGAAAGACAAAGTATAATCAGCTTAGGTTTTACTCTTTCGGGGAAAAAGGCATTTCTTCGTAGATTCTACTTTCATTTCCAGGAAAAAGGTCTTCTTCCTAAGCAAAAACAATCAATCCTTTACATGTCTAAAGCGATATTCCCAAAGTCAACTACAACATTTTTGAATGAGACGTTTGCAAAGCAATTGTAGGTTTTGTTTGATACACTGTAATTGATTTTATGGGAAATGCTGAAAACGTTTTTTCGTAAAACCAATTACACTTATCAAACACACTCTTAATCTATATTTTCAGATTCAGATCAAAGTACAATTAGTGCAAGTTTGTTCCATTTTTTCAGTAAATGATATCAAACAAAGACATTCTATAGTAAATAAAAAGAAGTATCCTTACCTGTTATCATTGCATTCCAACATGCTAGGTCTTTGCACCGAATTCCATAAAACAAGGTCCTTGCATCCTCCACCCTCCCGTCGTTAAAATACCCCGATATCAAAGCTGTCATAGCAACAACATTCTTATTCGGCATCCGCTGATACAACTCCCTGGCTTCATCAAACCAGCCATTGTCAGCATACCCACTAATCATCACCGTCCAAGAAACATCATTCTTAAGCGGCATCTCATCAAACAAAGCTCTCGCCTTCTCAAATTCCCCCACCTTCATATACCCATAAATCATTGCAGTATAAGATATCACATTCTTTCTAGGCATTTCTTGGAAAAGCATTCCTGCATCCCCTACCCTCTCACATCTCACAAACCCAGATACCATGGCATTGTAAGACTCCGTATTTCTCTGAGGCATTGCTTTAAAATACTGGAAGGCTTCATCTAAGCATCCGTTTTCAACACAACCTGCGATCATGGAGTTCCAGGAGAGTATATTTCTGCCAGGCATTGAATTAAAGAGTTTCTTTGCTTCTTGGAGATACCCATTCTTCCAGTAGGCTGTAATGATAGAGTTCCATGAGACAACATCTCGAGCTGGCATATTATCGAATAGTTGGCGCGCAGCTTTAATGTCAGCGGCCCTCGAAAGTTGTTGGATCCTGACGTTGCAGTCGTAGACATGACGAACAGAGAAGAACTGTTGCTTAGCAGGGTGCAGAAGGGAATGGTGAAGAGATTTGAAAGAGAAAGGAAATTGAAATATGGGGAAAAGAGAAGGAGGGCTGATGGATGCTGATCGGAGGGAAACGCGATGAAGCATGACAGAAGATAAAAATACCAGATAATCAAGAAACACAAACTGGAATTTCGAGCGAGGCTTTCTTTCTTAAATTCGATGTTTTGTGGGATAAATTCAAACAAATACTCGATAAACTCTCAATTATGAAAAATTACGACATCATCGTTTAAATTATTAAAAGATTATAAAAATATCACTCATGTTAAAAAAAATAATCATTTTAATTTAATCTGTTTATTTGGAGCAAATATTTTACAGAAAAAAAATTCATACTTTTTTTCATAAGAAAAGTTTATGTTCAAAGAAAACATTTTACCGTCAAAGGAAAAACATTTTATCGTTCATCTTCTTAGATAAGTGTAATTATTTGTTACCCTACTTGGATTATTTACGCGGAAAACACATTATTATCTTTTTTTAATGACTTCTTAAGCAATTAGCTTTGACTTTTGCACACTTATTAAAGAGAGGTCGAGTCGAATATTGATTATGCTTAAGGTTTTGCTCTAGTACACTCACATATATATGTTATTGTATCCCAGCTAGTTGAGGTTACATTGTGGTGGGAGGCACCGAGTATATTCATATGAGTTGAAAAGATGCTACTAGCCCCTTAGACCTCTTTCAAGGCTCGAAGTGGCCACTACAATATACTTTAGGATTAGGCTTCGTGATATGTTCAACAGTTACAAAACTATGCATTTATTTTACTTATAAACTATAATTTAGTATAAGATTATAAATTTTGATTATTGATTTATGAAAGAGATAAAAAGAAATGCTTGGAATTGTTAGTCTTCTTGATTTTGATCCTTGTGGCTCTTGGATGATTTAGGTTGTTTAGTTACAAAATTGTTTTTGTATTTGCACTTAAATTTTTATACGTGGTGTGGTTTTAGGATTCGAGTTTGACTTAGGCATGAGATGAAACAATATGGTTAATAATGTTCAGTGTTTGGATCACAATCATATGAAAAATCATAGAGTAAAACAACATAGGATCATTGTATTTGTGATCAACCTCATACCATGTTTCACTTGGTTGTTCAGAGTCGATTGTTCTTTAGTGCTTCACTTGTTCTATGCTGAAAATTCAGTAGCTCAAAAGTCCAGATTTCTATGTTATGATTCATCCCTTATTTTTTAATTTTCACCACAAGGAATAGAATTTTACAAAATAAAATAGATATGTTGTCGTCGAATATATGTGTATTATTTGTGGAAAAAAATTATACTATTCTTGAACATATGTTATTTGGTTAAAAATATTGTCATTTATATTTAAAAATTTGTAAAATATATTAATAATAAAATTAATTTCATAAATTTAAAAGATAGAAAATCAAGAAAGTTCATAAATATGTATGTTTATCAAAACAAACTTCAAAAATTATTTTTAAAAAAGTTAATCAAATAGCAAAAAATATTTTACATTGTAGCGTATAAACAACAAAAAATATTTTTCAAAAATATAATTCATTTTTCGAAAACTATTTTCAATGAAATAAACAAACCCTTAGTTATATGTCATAATCTCTTCACAAAATGAAAATTATTTAATACTAAATATTTGATTAGATTAAAATGTCAATTTAAGATTTTCTTTACCTTGTACTTATTTTAAATTAATAAAAATATCAATTTAGAATTTTTTAAAAAATAAAATCATTTAAAAATAAAATTTTTTAAAAAAATAAAATTTTCTTTTGGAAATAATAAAAAATATTTTAAAATTGTAATTATATAGAAAATCGTAAATCTTTTTTAAAAAATCTATAGTACGTAAAATTTTTAACCACTCATACTTCTCGTATAAAATTCTTTAGAATTATATATGCATGCATGGTAACATGATTTATTATCTTTATTTTTAAAAAAAATCATACATTTTCCTTTTACCCCTCCCCTTCTATATAAGTACTTATTATTTTATGATAAATGATATTTACGGTATTATCATCACTTCATTATTATTTTTTATTTTCCTTTTACCCCTCCCCTTCTATATAAGTATTTATTATTTTATGATAAATGATATTTACGGTATTATGATCACTTCTATTTAAGTATTCATTATTATTGTTAATCTTTTGATTTTATTAATCAAATTATTTAATTATTTAAATAATATTAATCAAATCATGTCGTTAATATTTAATTAAAATGATAGCGTGACAATTAAATTTATATAATGTTATGAACTTAAAATCTCGTTGCTATAAATTGAAATACTTAAGCTGGATTTCCATTGAAGAACAACAAAATTATAGCGATTGAGAAAAAAAACATAAGAAATAGAAGATAATATTAGAAGAAAGACAGAGAAAGGGAGAGAGAATAATAAATTGTAATAATATTTCACGCCCTTCCTTCGATTCTTTACCATATTTTATAGCAAGTTATCGTAGTCAAATAAGATTTTAAGATATTTTTTCACGTATATTCTTTTTTATTCTATGTTGTTGACTTGTTAATAATTGATGATTTATTAAGTTGACATGACTTCTCTAGATCATAATAAGAGCCGGCTTTTGAGGAGCAATCGACTAATTGCTCCGGGCCCTCTTTTAAATGGTACAACGAGGATTAGATTGGTAAATGAGATGAAATAGATCGTGAATTATTTGAGATTGACTCGATTAAGATTCGATAAATACTTAGATTGAATGAACTCGAGCTCGAGCTCGACTCGAGTTCTTAACGAGCTACTCGATATTCGTCTCGAAAAGCTCGTGAGCAGCTCAAAAATATAATATATTAAGATTTTATTTTTAAAAAAAAATAAATTATTAATAATATTAATATTTATGTATTGATTTTATTTAAAAATATAATAAGATTTCATGTATTTAAGGTTCATATTCGAGTTTGAGGCTTTAATCGAGTTAAGTTTAAGAATTTTTTTTTTCATTTCGAGCCTTTTAGAACTGCTCACGACCTTCAGTTCAGGATTTCGAATTCGAGTCGAGCTTTAAAATTTTAAGCTCGCGAGTTTTCGAGTCGAGTCGAGTTCCATTTTAAAATTTTCGAGTCGAGTCAAATTCAATTTCAGAGTTTTCGAGTCGAGTCGAGCTAAGCAATACTCAAACTCGACTCAAACCGTTTACACCCCTACTCTATGGGAGTCCTCATTAGAGTTGGCTTTTAGTTTCTTATTGAAAAAAATTAGTTTTTAGTTTTCCCAATATGAAAGTAATATGTAATAGATTCCATTTTTTACTTTTCACTCAAAAGTAAACGGCAATATATATATATATATATATATATATATATATATATATATATATATATATATATATTTAAATATTTACAATATTTAATTAGTTATGAGTCCATTTTGAACTTTTCATTCTAAAAGTAAACGGTAATATATAATATTAATTCACAATATTTAATTAGTCATGGGGGATGGGGGCACTTTTAATTTTAACAACTAAATTATTTATTCCATACATATTCCTATTTTCCAAATTCCCATTATTTTTTAACATAAACATAACGGGAAAAAATTAATATTTTCAATTTCCTTTTATTAAACTCCTCTTCTTTTATTTATTAAATTTCAAATCAAATACAACTATATATATCCCTATTTTTCAAATCATGTTCTTCAATTTATTCAAAAAAATTTACATCTTCTTCTCAAATATCAATCCATTCTTCAATTTATTTAAAATTCTTTAATTTTTCTTCTTCAATTTATTAAATATTCTTTAAGTATTCTTTTTCATACCATATCCACGATTCAATTCATTCAAATTCAAGAATAAAAAGAACATTGGATTTTTTGAGCATTTGGATTTGTTTATTTTCGGAAGAAATAAGGTCTCAAGGATTGGGAAGAAAATTCAATTTCTGAAATTATTCGACTAAAAAATCAGGTTGTTTTGCTCATACTCTTGCCTATTAATTATTCAATTATTCTTGAAAATTTATGTTTTACATGTTACAACTACTAACCTAATCGTTTAGGATATATGTGTGGTGATTGTGTTTGTATGTTTAATTATTTTTTATTTTTTACCTACGATTTCTAATTATCTAATTATGCTTCATAAAATAAAGTATAACTCTAGATGTGAAAAGCGTAAGAAGAAAAAAAATCGATGAGTTAACTCAATCCCAAATATGAGCACTTGATAAATTTTTTATTAATGAATCACATGTGTCCTAAAATGAAAATATTGTTAATGTTGGTGATTTTAATATTAATAATGCCGATGATAATAATATTAATATTGATGATAATGTTCATTTAAATAATAATAATGAACATGGTGATGAGGATATGCATGTAAATGAAAAAATGTCTTTGATGATGATGTTGGACCTTAAGCATGTTGATGTTGATATAGTTGATATTGATAAGGCTAATAATGTTGATGTTGATAATGCTAATGCTTTTGATGATATTGCTTGTCATAAGTTTAACATGTTTGATCCAAGAAATTGGGATGCTTTAGATTCTCAAATGATTGATATTTTAGCCATAAATAGTCCTAAAAGAGATTTATCTATTGTGAAAGGTGTTAAAGATAAAATTGGAAGACAATTTTTTACCTCATTTTACACTAATACTACCAAATGGGGATATGTGATAGAAATTGGCTTGTATATTCAAAAGAACTTGATAGAGTTTTTTTTTTTGTTTTTTTTTTTTGTAAATTATTTAAGAAATGATGCGGTAAAGGTCAATTAGCAAATGATGGATATAGTGATTGGTCACATCCTTGTGTTAGAATTAGAGAGCATGAAACCGGTATAGAACATGTACAAAATATGGCCACTTGGTATCATTTGCGTTTAAGACTTAAAAAGAACATAACTATTGATAAAATAGCTCAAAATTAACTTACAAGAGAGAAAGAACAATAGAAAAATGTCTTATTGAGAATTATTTCAATTGTGAAGTTCCTTGTAAAGCATAATCTAGCATTTTGTGGTACTAATGAGAAATTGTATCAAAATAGTAATGGAAATTTTTTGGGATTAATTGAAATGTTATATGTGTTTGATCCTATT